CCCTACCAACCGAAGCAAAACAAAAATAAAACTCCCTACACAGCCTGTAGAGGTAGGAAATAGAGAAAAAACTAGAGTTACAATGACACCATAAAACGGAAAGAAATGAAGACAACTACGAAAACCCATACAAGTTACTTGATAAGGTGCAAGATGCAGCTACCACCAAGCAACTGATTCCTTTAATCTCTAATTAAAGCATGTTTAGTTGTGTATTAACCAAACTAATTAAATATAAATAATCTAATCATATGTCAACCCTTATTAAGTTCACTAATTACACAATTAAACTTAAATTAGGCTCATACATATTAAATTACAATTATTCAGTCATGTTTAAATTACTGAATCAAAAACTCATAAATATGTACATTTTGCAATTTCAACTCCATTTTCAAGCAAATCAAGGACCAAATAATTAATCTTCACATTTATTTCCATAATCTTAAGCCTAACTCAGTTTCAATTGAATTTAATTAATTTTCAATTAAGGCTTAATTTGACTATATCTAATTTTATGAACCTAAATCAAAGCTTTAATTGAATTCTTATAAGGCTCTAAATATCAAATTAAACCTATTTTTCCATTTTTGAAACTCAATTTCATGAAACATCAATTTTCTTGAACCCAAGCTCTAATTCATGCTTAATTTCTCCTTAAACTCCATGAATCATGTACGAGAACAAGTATAGAATAAAAAATATATCATGCATGTAAAGATTAGGAGTTAATTTGAACAATTCTACCCATTTGCAAACATGCATGTCCTAAGCTCTTAATTACATGGGCAAATCTTCTAATTAATTATAAATTCAACTCAATTAAGCTTATGATCTTCCTATTTGAACCTAGATTCTATGAATTAACAGTGTATCATTTCAATTTTATGAATTAGGAGATAGAAATTACCTTAATTTGATGATTTAATGCGCATGAATTAATCCCCTTCTTTCTTCTTCCTTCAATTCTTCTTGACCTCAAGCTCTATGGCTATTTCTTTCCTCACTCTCTCTCTCTTCGTGGGTCTTGTTTGGTATATGAAATGAAAGACTCAATATAATAAACAACTCACTATAATAAGCAACCAAACACTCTCTCTCTTCCTATCTCACATACTGAGTAGTGGTCTACATGGTTATTGTCATTACTAATTCATTCTAATTAAGTTAAATCATTCTAATTAAGTTAAATAAAAATCAAAGCTACGCAAATTAAATTAATTCTCATCACAATAAAATCTCAATTACACTAAATTAAATTATACTAATGTGTATTAAGCTCTAATTCCTATACAATTATTTAATTCCATCCTATTAAAATTAGCAAATCAGACGAAACCAGTTTTCAATTAAACATCCCAAATGGTTCTAAAAATTCCCATTAGCATATCCATGCACCTAATTTCGATTTCTGAACCCATTATGGTCGTCAATTTCAGTCCCGAAGTTGTAGCCTCATCAGATATTTTCAAATTAATTCGTATTATTGCATAATTAAATAAAAATAATTGTGACACGTATTTTGGGGTCGTTACAACTAAGGTGACCAGGGAAAATTATAAATGTCAGAGAAAATTAGGCACTGAAAATTAAATGTCAGAGTACTAATTGTTTTCCTGTGGAATATATCTAGCCACAGAAAATTTCCATTCCAAAAAAAAAAACAACAAGCAACATAAACATGCTAGAGAAATTTTCAATAATTGTTAAAATTACATATAGAAGTAAAATATAGCTAGACAAAATTCAAAAAATAAACATATATCTAGCAAGCACAGAAAATGAATATGACAGAGAAAAGTAAACATGGCAAGTCAGAGAAAATTTTCATTCCACAATTAGCAAGATAAAATAAACAAAGCAACGTAAACATGCCACAGAAAACTATACAACATTAAAACCAAGAATTGAATAAAATAAACATACTAGAGAAAATTGAACATGGTAGACAGACACACGGGAGAAAACTAATGTGTCTAGAGAAAATTATAAATTCCAGAGAAACTTAGACACTGACAAAAGAATACTAGGTGTTTTCGTGTGGAATACATGTGGCCACAACTAATTTTCATTCGCAGAGAAAATAACCAAATCAACATAAATATGACAGAGAAATTTTTAAAAATTGCTACAAATTACATATAGATGTAAAATATAGCTAGAGAAAATTCAAGAAAGAAACATAAATCTAGCAGGCACAAAAAATAAAAATATCAGAGAAAATTACACATTCTAGAGAAAATTTCCATTCCGGAGAAAATTTCTAATTCATAATATTAAAATGCTAGAGAGATTTACATACACAACCAGAGAAAATTAAACATGATAGAGACACACAAGGGAGAAAAGTGATGTGACCAGAGAAAATTATAAATGCCAGAAAAACTTAGAGACAGATAAGAGAGTAATAATATATATAAATGTAAAATATAGCCAGAGAAAATTCAAAAAAGAAGCATAAATCTGGCAAGCACAGAAAATGAAAATGCTAGAGAAAATTACACATTCCAGAGAAAAATAGACATTCTAGAGAAACTTACAGAGTAGAAAAATTTATAGACAAAATCACACAAAATGTTCAAGAATAATATCAAAACACATAAATAACTTTTTTCAAAATAAACATGCTAGAGAAAATTCAAAGAATAAATATACATCAAGCAAATACTAGAGAAATTCAAATGCCAGAGAAATTTACAGATAAAATCACATAAACATGTTTAAGAATAAGTTCAAAATACAGAGAAATAACTTTTTTTAAATTCATGTAGTTTTTTATTACAAAATTGAAACCCTAATTAATGGAAGGTTAATATAAAATACAATTAATTGTGTTTCCAGAGAAAAACTTGTGGGATTGTAGAAAAACTTATCAGAGTTAGGATGAAATGCTAATTACAAACTGATATGCCGTGACATGAAGATGCAATGTGACGAAGATGAACTGAGATGGCGATGAACAGTGAAAACAGGGCTAGAGAAATTTGTGAGGAAGGACTGAGAAAGATTTTTGCAGAAGATAATGAAATTCTAATGTTGGTGGTGAAGATGATATTGAAACCCTAATTCTAGTGTTCTCTTGCTCATGAAGATGGTTGGATGTTTGGAATGGAATTCAGTCATCGGAGTTCAGTTCAGTTTCTGTGTTGATTTGTGACGGGTATTTGGTCAATGAAATAATTAAAAATGCGCGTGATAATAGTTGAGGGACTTGATGCATCACCCCTTTTTTTGGTGTCCTTTATCCTCTAAATTACTATTATTAGGGACCTTAAAAAAATTTCCCCAAAATTTACCCTTTTTTTTTTCCTTTCTTTCAGCCAAGTGTATTTAAAGACTTCTATATTCAAATTATATTTGATTTCAATTTTTTGAAAATTGAATTTTTTGTTTTTCATATTTTTTGTTTTTGTTTTTAGTGAATATTTTAAAAATTTTAAACCTTTTTTTATATACTTTTTTAGATGCACCTTACGTAGATGTATCCAAAAAGTAAAATATTTGTAAAAAAATATTTTAAAAAATCAATAAATGCACAAGAATACGAAAAATATATTGAATTCCCTTATTTATTTATTTACTTATTTGTATTTTAGGTATCTAGTGAATTTTGGTGAAGATTTTTTTCATAAATATTATACTTTTTAAGTATATTTATGTTAGGTGTATCTAAAAATTTAAAAAATTACTTAGAATGTTAAAAAAATTCATTAAAAACAAAAAAATTGAATTTTTGAAAAATAAATCTTAAAAATTCAAACCAAATAAGTTGATTATTACTCTACTAAAAGAAGAAAATAATTTTTAGTTAGAATGAAAAATTGACGATTTTGATTTGTATAAGTTAAAAAGCTTATTGAAAAATTAAGAAAACAAAGTCAAATTCGTAAATATTTATAATATTAAATATTATTAAAATTTAAAAAGATTAAGGGTAAATTATAAATATGTTTTTGAGATTTGATTAAAATACGAATATCTTATTGTAGTTTTAGAAATTACATCATATCTCTTCAAATTTCTAATTATATAACAAATTACATATTTAATTAATAAATTATTAAATCAATTAACATTTTCTAATATTATTAAAAATTTATTTCAATTAATAATTTATATAATTTTATTATTGTATAGAAGAGTAGTTAGAAATTTTACTTTTTTTGTTAATTCTATTATCCCAAAAATTATAACAAATAAATATTTGTAATTTTTAAAGCTATAAGGGTTGTTTGAGATGTTCTAAATAAGTACATGTTTTGAATTTTTATGAAATATGAGTTGAATTTGAAATGATGTGGTAGAAATATGATGTGAATTAAATAAAATAGTATTTTTTTGACTTTTTTAAGAGATGCCAAACCTAATAATAACATCTTATTTTTTTGAAAAAGCATAAAATCCAGACATATTCACTTTAGGGATGGCAATTTGAAACCGACCCGACGGGGATCCCCAATCCCGACCCCGATTTAAGCGGTTTTTCCCCGAAAAATACCCCCGACGGGGAGGGGACGGTATTTGAAAATCAATCCCCGATCTGTCACGGGCCGGGAACGGTGATCAGTGTTTAATCCCCGGCCCGGCCCGATCCCCGTCCCCGTCCCCGTCCCCGGTCCCGTCCCCGAATTTCCCCGAAATGAAATTACTTTTATACCCCTTATATATATATATAATATTTGAGCATAATATTTATATTTATATTATAATATTTATAATATTTAGGACCTCATCTCTCATCATCAACGCAGATCTCAATCTCACACTCATCACTCATCATCATCAACGCCCTCATCTCTCTCGGTCTCCCTCTCTCAATCTCCCACCGCCGATCTCAATCTCCCACCGCCGATCTCCCTTCTCCCACCACCGAACTCCATCCTCCCACAACTCCAACGTCTCTCCCACCGCCGATCTCCATCCTCCCAAGCTTGCCGAATCACCGCCACCATCACCGACCAAGCTTCACAGATCTGGAATATTCTCTCTCTCTTTTGATTTGTTATATATATATATATATTATATTTGAGCATTAGATTCAGATCTTCTCTTTCTATAAAATAGGTAGTAGGCGGTTTGTGTGGTGCAGAAATGTATGTAGGGCGGAATTAATGTGTAGAGTAAATTTAAATCATGATAATTTGTTTTTTATAAAAAAAATAATCATATGCGTACACACCCGGTCGAAACCGGTCCGCCACCCCTTTGCAAAGCCCCTTAAACCGTTCAACAAATATCGAACCGCCAGGCTTTGTAATTGTTTTGGGACTATGAATAATTGCCCTTGAATAACCCCCCTTTCTCTCTCTTCGACAATCACTTTTTTGCCCTACTTTCCACGAAAGAAGAGGATTGGAAATCCAGTTCGATTGGTCTGATTGCAAAGTCCAAAGCTTTGATTCCGAACCAGACTACGATTGCTCGTTTTTCCCTAAACCCTCATTCTGTTCCAGGTCTCTCTTGCTAGCTTGTGATACATATATACACATTTCTATGTTATCTTTGATTTGATATCTGTTTCATCATTATCTTCGAATCGAGTGATAGTAGTTTTGGGTTTTGAATAGAATTTGTCAATTCTCACTTCAGAAGATTAGGCGTACGGATAATTTATTCATTGCTTGTGACTTTTAGATTCGGCTTTACTGGAGGAGAAATTAGTTGTTCGTGGGTTAATGTGTTAACTACTAATTCTTGACTTATTTTTGTCTGGAGTCTTGTGTTGTAAACAATGAGATTATATTGAAGATTCCTGAAATTGGAATTTTTTCTTACACTAAAGTTTGTAAGGGAAAAAAACAATTATTGGGTTGGTGTTATTTTGTTATATCTTTATTGTTTATTTGAATTGATTTATGTTTATGATGTAATAATGATGTTAGATTCGATTTTGGTTGATCTGAAAGCTGAACCCGATTTTGAAACATTGTATAAAGCAGTCTCACATTGAAATATTTCAATCAAACATACTAGCGGGTGGCACATACGGGTGCAATTCAAATAACTAATAATAAAAATAAATAATGGAGAATTTAATATTATAAGATGTATGTTACTTGATTGAGTGATAAGTATGTTCTTAATGAAACCAAGGTCTTGGTAAAACTTGCTTACGCTGTATATAATAATTTTTTTATTTTAGCATATATAAAGTTGCCACGTGGTGCATAAGGAGAAGAAGGTTTCACTAAACCAATTTAGGCCTTTACTTAATAATAGTATAGATATAGATAATATGCATTGCTAGACCAAATTGAAAAACTTTGAAGAAGTAAATGGAATGAGGTAGAATAATACTAACTTCTCATGATCTAATGTAGCATCTTAAATTCTTAATATAGTAATTTTGATTTTTTGCCTAATTTTCTTTCTTTTTTTTTTTTTTTTTTTTTTTTTTTTTTTTTTTTTTTTTTTTTGTTCTCATTAGATTTAGGGTTTATGGTTATTTTACAACATTTTCAATTCTGTCTTATTTTATTATTAGTACTCTCAAACCCTAAACTCCGTACAGCAATTTTTTCCCCCTTTCTACAATGTTTACTTTATGTATTCAATTATCCACATGTTTATACTTTCCCCCAAAGAATCTTTTGGTATTTGTATATAGTCAGAGGTTTGAGAGGTGTAGTAATTTGGGTATTTTGACACACTTGAGGTGAGTAGGATTACTTGAGCTGTAAAATTTTACTATTGACTTAGTAAAAATTTTATGAAGATTGAGAAATGAAGAACTATAGACTTTTGGTATTTTTTTCTCCTAACTCATGTTTTTGGATGGTCCTCTTTTGACACACGTATAGATTGATTGTACTTGGAAGTTGGTCTTTTCTTGATATAGGTTATATAGAGTTTAGTTTTGTACAAAATACAATTGAAGTTTGGAATTTGTGAAGCTGTTAATCTTGTTGTGGACATAATTAATATCATACATGAATTCATATTTTGTTAAATTTTTCTGACTTTGGTGACATGAAATTTCGAATTATTTAACTTCTCGTATTGATCTTGGATTAGTTTTGGTACAAAATACGACAAAAGTTCAGAACTTGTGAAGTTGTGAATCTTATGATGGATATGTAATATGTGAATGCATATTTTGTTAAATTTATCCAACTTTGGTGATTTGAAACTTTGAAAATTTTCAATTTTTGTATGGATCTTGGATTATTGTTTTATCCAGTTCATAGGATTATAGATTACGTCGGGATTCGAACCCACGTCTCTTGCTATATTTATCCAACTTTGGTGACTTTAAATTTTGATTTTTTTTTACTTTTTATATGGATCTTGGATTATTGTTTCATCCAGTTCATATGATTATAGATCACGTTGGGATTTGAACCCACATCTTTTGCTGTTGAGGGCAACTGTGACCAGTTCCCCTCCAGACCTGTAAGCACCATGATCCTCTAGACTGTTTTTGACAGATTGGCACATTATAGTTCATTAAATCTAACGGATCATCTGTGCCTAGTGCCCACATCATTTGAACAACTAAAACACTTAAAAGTTAATGGAGTTTAAAAATATATTTAGAAAGAGAGAAGCAGGAAGTAGTGAGCTAAAATCACTTATTCTTGTTTTCCTATTGAATTTGTCTAAACCCTTGTGAGTACCATGGCAACGGATAGATGGTGATTGAAGAGTTTTCTTGCTACCTTCTTGTTGGAGATGAGAAGTATCGCTGCACTGTTGTAATTGATACTGAGGTTTTGCACCTTCAAACAAAAAACCAAGTTTGGAAGTGTTGTTCTTCAAAATATTCCCTAGCACTCAATTTATTCAATATGCGGAACAAGAAAGCCATTGCACCGTCACTAGAATCATTTTACCATTTTTTGATAGAATCGAGAGTATTAAACTGAAATTGGTTGAAACCCAATCGAAAAATGCTGTAAAAATTGTAAGCCCAAATCATAATTTGGTTGAAAGTAAAGAAGTGATATTCAAACTTTTGCATCTGGGTTTGATTTTTGCTTCTCCTTCTTTCCACCCAATCTGTTCAAAATTCTGCTTTTAAATTTGATTCTTTTTGAAGTTTAGCTTCTTAGTTTTTATCTCTCGGACATATGTTAGGGCCCTAGTGCCTTGGGCTTGGGTTTTGCTTATAATGACACTAATTTCTTTATATTTAACATATGGATTCTGAATTTTGATGCCTATTTTTGGAGATTTATGAATGTGACTATTGAACCAAACTGGATCTGTGATTTGCTTCTCCAGCATTTGATGAAAGATGACTTCGTTTTCTGTTACGCGGAAGAAGACGCCTTTTCAGAAGCACAGAGAGGAGGAGGAGGCGAAGAAAAAGGTTTGGCTTTTAATAGGTCCTTTAAAACCTGTTGGTTTACTAACCCAACACAAACACACACATATATGTATGTATATAATTTAAAAACTGTTGGTTACTAGAAAACAGTGCTGTTGTTGGTCATGTTACTGTATTTTTATTTTCTTAGAGGGCGGAAGATGAAACAGCTCGTTTGTATCAAGAGTTTGTGGAGTCATTTCAAGGGGAAAACATACCAGGGTCTAAGGTATTTGTTAGAGGAGGGACAATCAATGTCAATGATGTACCAAAGATTGATTCTGAAGGTCAGTGCAGCTAAGGGACTTTCTATATAAATCCTTTCTTAGATAGTTTTTCTATGTTTAATTGCTCATTTAATATATTCTTGTTTTCTTATACATTATGGATTAATAATAATTTTCTGTTATATGGACGCATTAATAAAAATATGGGCCTTTCTATTCATTCGCGGATGGCAGGTGGAAATTCTAAAGATGGGGTGTCTGGTTCAAAGAAGGGGAGTAGGTAAATAAATGCTTTTGAATAACCATGTTACAATGCTATGTAATAAGGCATTTTGATTAGGGATATTATATGATAGAGATATCTTTAAATGTAGCTTTTGTTGCTTAGGCTTGTGAGTATGAAAAAATTAGGGAGCATATGCTGTGTATTTAGTCACAGATTTTGCATTATCTGAAATGTATTTTTTATGGTGGCATTTTGTAATTTTTATACAAAAGATTGAATTATGATGTGAACTTTGGAGAAAGTGCAATTATTTATGGAGTTTATGAAAGGCATTATTTTCTCTTCAATATAAGGGTAATTTGCTAGAGATGTCAACATTTTCTTTTTTCAAATTGATGGGGTAAAGATTTTTGAAAGGAAAAATTCAAGTATACGTGTGTTTACAATTTAATAGCCTTCAAGGTCATTTCTTCTATTCTTCAATATGCACTTTTGTGTCCGACTGAACCCAAATTATATTAGCATATGATGTTGCTCCAAACATTGCGTGAGCTGAATCCTTTTTTCTTTTCCTTCATTTGTCTGTTCGATTTCTTATAGTGAAAAAGGATACAGTTGTGGAGATTGCATTCATTACCTTTTTTCTTGTTAATTTGCAAAATATTTGATTTGTTTCTCCTATGGTAGATAGATTTGTTTTTTTGTGGGTATGATGTTTGTGAGCTGGAAACTTTTTCTTTTTTCTTTTTTCTTTTTGGCTTTGCTTGGTGTGCAGCTTATTTTTATTTTTATTTGCCAAAGTGCTTGGTGCGATTTCTATTTATAACGTAAGACAAAAATAACTTCAATAAGCTGAAAAAATTGATCTTCTAAGAGTTGAGGAAAGGGTACTTTTTAGCTTCTGCTTTCTAATTATCGCAAAAAATAGAAAGGGTGCTTTCTATAGAGTGCACCAAATAGGCACTTTATATGTTTGTTCAATTTCTTATCAAGCAACTGTGTGAGAAAGGTGTCTTCATGGGGATTGCTCTGCATGCTGATTTCATTATCTTCTCTCTTGTTAGATGGCAAATTCAATAGAAAATAATTTGATCATTCCTCCTCTGCTAGATATATATGTTTTTGGTGGATATTTTAAAAAATATATATATTACTAGATTCATGCGAAATAAATGGTTTGACATTGCTGATCTGAATTTTTTATGGAAGAAAAGTGTGTATTGTTTCCCTTGTCCTCTTTTCTTATTTTTTTAAAATTTATTATAACTTTATCTTTCGGTGATTAGATTTTTTCTCTATTGTTAAATTCATTTGGAAGGAAGTTCTTGCTTTTTGGTGAAGAAATATCATTAAATAATAAAGTCAAATTGCATAATTTGGAAGTATTTGGTGAAGAAAGGAGTTAACCAGCTTTACGAAGATTTAATGTCTCTTCTTGAATTACTTCCGAAACTCTTCAATGAAGACAAAAAAGCGCTAGCATGCTTCTTTGATTTAACCACTCTTAAAAATGTAAATGTTCAGTCTAGCCATTCCATCAACATGAAACGATTCAACAAGTTCCCCCAATTCCACATAGGGAGCTCTCTCATTTTCAGTCATCAAATTCCATTTCTTTCCCCAACCTTCATAACCTTAGCCTTTTTTTTAAGGTGATTCTTTTTGTACTGAGCTGTCAAATTTTAACTTAGAATTGTTTGAGAAATAAACTTGTCTAGTCAGGCACCAAACTTAGTAAATTGTCTACTGTGACATGTTCTTTCATTTCGTTTTTGTTTATTATTTTTGTATATTGTTTGAGAAAATTATTTTTATAGTTCAGAAATTGGATTGTGAGATTTCTTTTGCAGATATGTTCCATCTTTCTTACCACCTCCTTCAACCAAGGGAAAAGAATATGAGAAGAAGGTTGGTGTGCCTGACGAAAGTTATTATCATATTCATCTTTTGTTCTCAATATCGATGTATTTGTTCTTTTCTTATTTATTCTTTTTTTTTTTCTCCTCATTACTTCTAGAAAGAGGAGGAGAAGCCGAAGGAGAAAGAGAAAGGGAAGTCAAGGAATATAGACCATTTTATGGAGGAGTTGAAGCATGAGCAAGAAATGAGGGAAAGGCGGAATCAAGAGCGTGAACACTGGCGTGATGGGATTCATAGTGAAAATTCTGCTGTAAGTGGCTTCTTTGTTCAACAACTTCTTGATGTGTTGAAAAAAATTCGAATTGCATTGGTTTATATGTAGATTATTGCTGTTGTGAGCATAGCTCATATGCACATGAACATCATGTTGTACACTGATATCAGCATTTCTAGTTCTGGGGTCTTAACATGACACGCGGGAGCTAATTATATATATTATAATGATTTCATTCTCTCTTTTATCTAGTTAATTTACGTTGTGTGCAGCATTTTCATAGGCTATATCTTTGCATCTTTAGTTTTTGTCTTGGATTGGAAGCATGTTTTTATGAATGTTTCATTGTCAGCCATCTACCCGATTCGATGAACTGCCTGATGATTTTGATCCAAGTGGAAAGCCTGGATCATTTGATGATGGAGATCCACAAACTACAAACCTGTATGTTGGAAATCTGTCTCCTCAGGTTAGATTGTGGTTTTGAATGTTTACATTTCCAATTGGTTTGGCTCTTTATGCTTTTTAGCTTCTTGGTCTGAGGAACTACGAGGCTGACCTTGTTATATTGATTTTGGATATTTTAGGTGGATGAGAATTTTCTTTTGAGGACTTTTGGAAGGTTTGGGCCTATTGCTAGTGTGAAAATAATGTGGCCTAGGACAGAGGAGGAACGTAGGCGGCAAAGAAATTGTGGCTTTGTAGCCTTCATGAACAGAGCTGATGGACAGGCTGCAAAGGATGAAATGCAAGGTCTAGTCTTTGGGGATTTCATTTCCATTATGAATCTTTGGATGGTTGTTCTTAACTGATTTGTGTTGTTATATGTTTGAATCAATATGATATTTTCTTTCTTGGGCAATTAACTCCAGCAAATCTATATTCTTCTTGCTCATATTATATTTTACTGCAAGAATAACTTGTATTTCCATTTTTCATTGTTTGCCAAAATAGCTGAAACTTTATCAAGTTTTGTCACATCCAGGTGGTGCCTTTTTCCATGAGTAAGCCTTTGAATTAGTTAATGCACCATTAAGTTTCCATTTTTTTTATGAGATTTCCATTTGCAAAGAGGAGCTTCAAAAGAATATGAATTTAATCATGGTTTCATATTTATACATCGTGCAAATATGTAGGCATAAACAGGTTCTCTAGAATAAGTAGAAATGAGCTCTTATAAATTGCCTCCATCTAAAGCAGCAAGAACTAAGAGTACATTTGGTACGTGAGAAGAGAATGATAGAAATGAAAGTTTTTTTCAGATCACTACCTTTCCCTTGTTTGGTTGTCTAATGAGGAGATAAAAGAAAAGAAATAAGGAATATTTCTAGAATCTTTCCTATATTTGCCACAATCCTTTTTCCAGATCAGGAATGTTTGGAAGATTAGTCATGTACCCAAAAAAAATGGTGGTCTCCATTTTAAGCCTCAAGAACTAAGAGTCCGTTTGGTACGTGAGAAGAGAATGATAGAAGTGAAAGATCTTTAAAATCACTTCCTTTCCCTTGTTTGCTTGTCTATTGAGGAGATAAACAAAAATAAATAAAAGAATTTTTCTAGAAACTTCCATCTATTTGCCACAAATTTTTTTTTTCTCCAGATGAGGACTAGTTCAAGTTGGGTACAATAGTCAAAACTCAAATAACGGCACCTTTTAGATATTGTCTCAGGGAAGATTGCAGCCAAGGGTTTATTCTGAATAGTAATGTTACAAGGGATTATCACCAAAAGATTCATAAAAAAAGGGGGGGGGGGGGAAAGCGATGTGAAATCTGGTACATGAAAATGATGAAACTGTGATGTCAGTAACTGGTGGTTATAATGAACTCTGAATCACAATCTTCTTTAGAAATAACAGCCCTGAAGTAATGGGCTTATTTTGAATTCTTCCCAAAACACAATGAATGATTAGTTTTTATGCAGCTTCTGAATTCACCGTAATTGAGCAATTGTTTGATTTCTGAATTAGTGTAAATCTTCTTATCGCTGGGTACTAGCATTTATTTTTGTATCTATAACGTGTGTATTGCTGAGCAAAGCAATGGGATAAAGGGACTGAAGATAATTTTTGTGTTCCAGGTGTTGTTGTTTACGAGTATGAGTTGAAGATTGGGTGGGGTAAATCTGTGGCTCTTCCATCACAAGCTCTGCCTGCTCCTCCTCCAGGACAAATGGCCATCAGGAGCAAGGAGGTCCGTTACATTGCATCAATTAAAGCAATGAAATCATGTAGATATATTTATCTTGGGCATGAGCATGAATTCTCTCTCTTGCTTAAAGATTAATTCCTTATTTCAGAGATGGTTGGATAATTTCCTTAATACTTCAAATAGAAAATTCAACAGTCTTTCCTTGATTCATGATACAAGTTGGTCATATATGATTTTGTGATTGGCAGGGCAGCACTGTTATTTTGTCTGGTCCATCTGGACCACCAGTTACATCTGTCCCAAGCCAGAATTCAGAGCTGGTAGGTCAACTTAATATTCTCTCAGTTTTACTTTAGAGTTCATTTTGGTTAATGCATTTTAGAATTCAGTTTGAGCAATGCTGTTGTGATGCAGTTTTATTTATCTATTTTTGACAGTAAGGTGAATATTATTATGGACAAAAGGTGTAGGCACCAAGGGAAACAACCCATGTATATAGAATGTATACAGTACAAAAAATATTTTCCTACATTTAACCTCAGAACTACATGAAAGGACTTGCGCTTCCTTCTATCATTTGATATATTTCATTCTTTCCTTCATTTGTTACCCCAAGCTTGCATGAAAATGAGATGTCTTGTAATCTTGGCTTCTAAGCTTTCTTATCAAAATGGTCATGTAGTTTTACTTTTACTTCCATACGAGATTTGATTGATTGCTTGACCTGGTTGCCTAGGTACTTACTCCAAATGTTCCTGATATAACGGTTGTTCCACCTGAAGATGGTCATCTTCGTCACGTAATTGATACAATGGCGCTGTTTGTTCTTGATGGAGGCTGTGCTTTTGAGCAAGCTATAATGGAAAGAGGCCGTGGGAATCCTCTTTTTAGTTTTTTGTTTGAGCTTGGCTCAAAGGAGCATACTTACTATGTTTGGAGGCTGTATTCCTTTGCCCAGGTACATGCTATTCGAGGCCTAACTGAATGGTATCTGTTACTTTTCTTTTGTTACATTATTATTGCATGCAGTTGTGTTTGATTTGGCAATTATCCTTTATTTCTTTAATTATTATTATTGGTTTTGTCCTCGGTAAACAAGTGAATTTCAACATTTTTGTTGTTGTAAAGACATGACTCAATACGTTCATATGGTGTGACTAAAAACATTGAGCACGATACAGATGGAGTTCTGTAATGAGTATACTAATAATATGGTGTTATGGATCATATTTATATATAAAAAAAATGGTGTTATGGATCATGGGTTAGGGTCATAGCACCAATTAAAATTATATATTTCTAAGATCCTTAATAATCAGTTCAGAGTTGAGATCAATTCTTCTCATTTGTCTTGTTCCATCCATGTGTGGTGGAAAGAAACAACTAAAGAGTTTTGATGCATGTTAAATGCAGGGTGATACTCTTCAGCGGTGGCGAACAGAGCCTTTCATCATGATTACTGGTAGCGGGAGGTAATGCATGCAGATTATATCTTGTTCGAATGTTTTTGCCTGTGGAATTAGTTATTTTGTATGTCCTAGCAGTCTCTTATGTAAGATGGTTTAATAGACCCTCATGTCTAAGTTGATACTCATGCATGTTTATCCAGATGGATGCCACCCCCACTACCAACGGCAAAAAGCCCAGAGCTCGAAAAAGAGTCTGGATCTACATATGCTGCAGGAAGAAGCAGGGTACTTTTTGATCCTGGTCTTATTGCACTCTTCAGTGATTTCATTTAAATTCAGACGTGGTATCATTGTGAATGAAGATGGTGTTTTCCTTCTTAACATGTTCCTTTTACTCATCAACTTTGCAGCGTTTGGAGCTAGAGAGAACGCTTACTGATGCACAGAGAGATGAATTTGAGGACATGCTCCGTGCCTTGACATTAGAGAGGAGTCAGATAAAGGAAGCTATGGGTTTTGCTTTAGATAATGCTGATGCAGCTGGGGAGGTAATGCTGCTTTGGTATTCTAGGCGTGGGTGGAGCTACATATTTATTTATAATTAAAACCCACAATGGATTGTGCTTTGCCCATTATTGACAATATGTTCATTTATGTTGTTACTTACATATGATGTTTATAGAGCTATATTCAACTTAACAAACATACTATCTAGCAAAGTAGGTAAGACAAAATAAAAGAAATATGGAAGGTTTGAATCTGCAAATTGATTTTAGGGTTTTGAATTTTTGTAATTCTTGAATTTGAAGTGCTTTATTGGTCTGTTGTGTTGCAGATAGTTGAAGTTTTAACCGAGTCTTTGACGCTCAAAGAAACCCCCATACCTACTAAAGTTGCAAGGCTCATGCTTGTTTCCGACATTCTTCACAATAGTAGTGCTCCTGTAAAGAATGCATCTGCATACCGCACGAAATTTGAAGCAACTCTTCCTGACATAATTGAAAGTTTTAATGACTTGTATCGTAGTATAACTGGAAGAATCACTGCTGAAGCCCTTAAGGTAAGTCTATATTTGAAGGCATGTTTCTAGATCCTTGTATTGGCTACCTATACAGGTTTCTCATTTAAAATTATTTCTGACTTTCTGCAGGAACGTGTTCTGAAAGTTCTCCAAGTATGGGCTGACTGGTTTCTGTTTTCTGATGCCTATATGAATGGATTACGAGCTACATTTCTTCGATCTGGGAACTCTGGTGTGATTTCTTTTCATTCTGTGTGTGGTGATGCACCAGAAATAGAAAAGAAGACTAGCTCTGAGGATGCAAGTGATGGTGGAATTAATCAAGATGCTGCATTGGCAATGGGTAAAGGAGCAGCCATGAAGGAGCTATTAAGTCTTCCCCTTGCAGAGCTAGAAAGACGATGTAGACACAATGGCTTATCTCTTGTTGGTGGTAGAGAAACGATGGTTGCACGATTGCTTTATTTAGAGGAGGCAGAAAAGCAGAGGGGCTATGCACTAGATGATGACTTGAAATATGCACAAAGCCAATCAAGTTCAAGTCGTTACTCAAGTGGCCGAAAAGAAACAAATGTTGAAATGGAGCCAGTGGGGTTGTCAGGATGGAGTCGTTATGGGGAGGATGAAATGCATTCACAAGGCAGTGTGTCAGTACCTTTGGCCCAAACCATTCCTACCCCACAGCCTGAATTAAAAGGCCTTACTAATAAAGGGAAAAATGATCCTGTTTTGCCAGCCTCTAAATGGGCCAGAGAGGATGAAGGAAGTGATGATGAACAAAAGAAAAGTCCTAGGGATCTGGGGTTAAGTTACTCATCTTCTGGGAGTGAAAATGCTGGTGATGGTCCTAATAGGGCTGACGAGGTGGAGTTTGCAGCTGAAGCAAGCATTGCGGCGCTGCCTGATAGTGGAATGAATGAGGAACAGAGGTATGCTGTCACTATCAACAGATTCAATAGTTGTATTCTTTCTCAGGATGATGGATTTTAAACAATTCCATAGCTTTTGTTTATCAACTTGTGTTGAATATGTTAATTTGAACAGACAAAAGTTGAGGCGTCTTGAGGTTGCTTCGATGGAATATCGTGAATCTTTAGAAGAGCGTGGACTGAAAAATTTGGAGGAAATTGAGAAGAAAGTTGCAATACATCGGAGACGCCTGGAAGCTGAATATGGATTATTGGACTCTAATGACAATGTTACAGCCAACAGTAAGTGCTAATACTGCGAACCTTTAAGATTGACAGTGCAATTATAGCATTGGAATATATTGAACTGATGTGTTATCTACTTTCTCATTTCTAGCATTCGCTTCATATGCATTTGTTAGTTCTAGCGGCTTTGATTTTTGCTTTTAAAATTGTCTTTCTTTTTTTTTTTTTCAAAAATTTTTTCCGCTTGTTTTTCTTAATTTCTAGTTCATGGGTGTTCTTTGCTAGAGTTCTATCTTTTGCCACTATATAGTTGGAGGTGTGGGGTTCAAGTCCGGCTATGCAAAAAAGAAAAAAATCGACAGAAAAAACCCATAAAAACGAAGGACTTAAAAGCTCAACTAGCCTCTTTTCTGGCCTAAGCGCTTTATCAATGTTATATGTATTGTTGATGCATCAGCTGATTACTCCTTTCGTATAACCAGCACATTTCTGGACATAAACTAGACCTAGGAGAGACATGGAATTAGTCCTTGCAGTTCCCACTGTGTTCTTTACATTTTTTGTAGACTTTTTAAAGTAGGTATTGTTACGGTGTTTGTGTGTTTCCCCCCTCCCTTTTCTTCTGTGAGAAGCGTGACTTCGTTGTATGGGAAGTTTTTTATGATTTTGATTGCCATAACAGTCCTGATTTCAGTTCTGTTCGAATATCTTTAAGGTGTTTTGGGGCTCTCATGCTATATCTAAGGATGTGGTGACGTAGAAAAAATTGAGAATCTTAATTCAGTTTTATGTGTGCATGTCTCGTGTACTGCTCTTCTTAGTATTGTATTTGTGTCATAGTGTGAATGTCAGATGATTTTCTTACAAATCCTTGGAACTGCAGAGAGATCTTTGGAAAGAAGGGACAGAAAAGATTCCCGGGAATGTTTGAGAAAACGGCACCGCAGCCAGAGTGGAAGTGAGAGCCCACAGCGCAAATCATCCAGCAAAGATAGGGAGAAGGAAAATGATGTAGACAAGGATCGAGAAAGGCACCGGGATAGAGCTCATGATTCAGAAAGTGGGAGAAAAAGGGATCGTGAGAAGAGTGGTAGTAGGGAGAGGGATGACCACGACAGAGGCAGAGAGAGAGACAGGGATAGGAGGAGGAGAGTGAAATGAGTTTGTTGATGGCAGTACATTAAAGCTTGAGTGCCCTAGAACTTGCTTCTCACTAGCAAAATTATTTGGCGGTGTGGGTTTCCAAACTGGGTTGGAATAGTTTGATGATGAAAAGATATTTTCAGTTAATCTCCTTAAGATGGACTTGAGTTCGGACATTAAACCATGGGAGATTGGTTTATTTACTGGGAACGACATTTATCTTTTCGATGGACAAGTCTGTAAGACAGAATATAGTTCCCACAAGCCTGTATTTTAGCCAGTTGCATGTTGTTCTCTGCGTTTTTAATTTCAGTCATGTTGGTTGTGTTGCAATGCTAAAATGTTCAAAGCATGTGCATTTTAGTTTTCATTTACTTGTATGCTATTGTGAAATTCTTTTCAGGATTCCACATTGCTACCCTCTAATGCACATCAATTTTCTCAACTCTTCCAAGAGGTTAAATCATGCTTTATGCTATATCTCCTAGAATTTATTTTGGTAGATTATAATTGTCCCACTTCTCCAATCTTTGTAGGATTTTCAACATGTTTGGTTGGGTTTTTGCACAATCACTTTGAAAATGGAAGTTACCGTGACAAATTTGTTTTATTTTTACCAAGATGCTCCATTTTAAACCCTAGCAAATAATGATCATGATTCATAATTCAAAATGTTACTAGTGTCTAATTTTTAGGGGGGTGAACAAAACTAACCTTGTAATCTGTCCAAACCAAAGCAATATACTTGCCATTCAAAAAGTTTACCGATCCGATGCTCAAGTAGCATTGTACTTGCCATTCAAAAAGTGTAGTGATCCGATGCTCAAGTAGGGTAATTCAGCAAGTCTAAATTTGGTTTGATTTTCTTTCAAGTTGATCACAATTGAGTTTCAATCAATCTGATAACAAACTGAATATGAAGTTTAGATTTTTGTACAATTTTAAGATGTATATAAATTTATTGAGTCGAGCATAAAAAAAAATAATCCCTCCGTCTCATATTACTACTATTGAAAATTCAAACTTTTTAAAGAAATATAATTATTACATTTTGAATGCAAATTTTAAAAAATTAATTTCAAAATTACCCATCTATTCTTATTTTTAAATACATTTATAATTACTTTATAAAGGATAATTTTTAAAATTTTTAAAATCAAAGTTTTGGCTTTTCAAAGTGTATATATTTTAGGACAACAAAATATGAAATAATGGACCAATAAAATAGGATAGAGGGAGTAACAAATTTTAAAATATGTTATTTATAGCTTACATAGTAAGGCAATCTCAAGTAAACTTCTAACAAACTGAACATGAATTATAATCCTATGCTCAAGACAGGGCAAGTAGGTTTCAGCAGCCACACCACTCATTCCAAAATAGAATTGGGTTTGGCTTCACACTTACATGCATATATAGCAATCAATGTACAAACCCACATAAAAGACTCGTCATTTTTAAAATAATAATAAAATTTAAAAAAAAAAAAAAAAAAAAAAAAAAAAAAAATCTCATCATTATTTTCTAATAAACACATTTGTTGTGGAACTTTAATGAGACAAATTCAAAACACAAATTTATCCACTTTTTGTGTGTAAAAAAGGTAAAATCTGTTTATCTAAGCAATATATTTTCTCCTTTTGATCACTTTTCCCTCTTTATTTTAGGCTCTCCATGAACAATACCTTGTTCAACAACAATACAAAACATCTACACTAGAAAATTTTAAGGAAAGAATAAGAAGATACAACAAACAATCATAGAGGAGACCATGATGCTGCACAAGTTCTTCATAGAAATATCAACCCCTTTCAGTGTCGAGGAATGCCTTGGTTTTTCTTGCATATATGTGTGCTTTGTGTCATTGTGGTTTGTCATCGTGTCTACCATCGACATTATCAACAAGGGGGGCAAGTTCTATATTTTGAGGTTCTGGAGTTTCGGAAACTTCTTCTGCATTCAGCATCATTTCAGTTGGAAGAATGGAAGCATTGGGATCGCTTCCAGGAATCAAAAATAGAAGGCAAAGCGGAGAGACTCTCAATATATTTCGGATCAAGATGGCCAGCCATAGTTCATCAAATTCTGTTCGAGTAACCTTCAAAACATGGAGCAGAAGACCTCCACCCCACGATGACGTGAGAAGTCCCGCGTTATCAATTGACATCAGTAAAGCAAAAAGCGTGCCTTCAATGCCAGGGGGACAAAGCTTGGAACTGAGTACAAGAAGGGGCATCCATTTGAGCCGTAAGATCATTTGAGAAACACTGGCATCGATTACCACAAAGAGAGAATCAGGTATGCCAAATTTCAAATTTAAGCGTAGCACCAGCATCAAATCCAGCATTCCAGATAGACCAAACAGCAATTGGGTCCAGAAGCATAGGTCCCTAAAAGGGTAGTCTTTAAGACCATACTGATATAGTATGGCCCCCAAAAGGGAGCCAACTGAACCAATTGAGCATATGTAACCTATAGCCTCCTGCACAAAGCAATCAAAGGATGTACAAGCATTATTACAAGAGTCATGCGAATCTGTAAGTCGCGTGCAACACTGGAACTAAGTGTAATCAATATTTGTTTCATATAATAATATAATACAATTACAAAAACCTCTGAAAATAAACAATGAACTCAGTGAGAAATTCTTGTTGTACAGCATTGCATTAGAAACCATATGCTTCATTTTTGTGTTGTGCAAATGTTTATTTCTCAATTGCATTGAGATATAAAGTAAATGTATGATTTGGAGGTCCGGAAAAATCAAGTGGAAGCAGGGGAAAGCACTCGTGAAAGGCAGTGAGAAAAGATATCATCACTTGAAATACAACAGCACATATGGCCCCAAGTAAAATGCAAAAATATAGTTCAGATGATAAATACCAAGTAGTGACTTAAGGCTTTGCTGTTGTATTACAACAATGACATTCCACTATCCATGCTTTAATGTAAATAGTTTTTAAGGAAAGTTTCGACAGGTATTTATAAAACTTACTTGTCATGACATAGGGGATTTGATGTCTATATATTTTAAGGGACAAAGTTGTGGATGATTATTTGATGATTGCATATCGATTATGTTATTTGATGTCTTTATCATGAACATACACTTGATATGAATTCATAAAAAACTTTTTAATGATTTATTCCCATTGTTTTAAAAAATTTAATGTATATACTAATGTTTATTTTCATTTACTAAGGCCTCGTTTGGCAACTCACTGTTTTAGCCTAAAAGTCAAAAGTCACCAAAAAAATTAAAAAGCCAACAACTTATACAAAAAAGTCAAAGATTTCTTTTTTTTTTTTTTTTCTTCTACTTTTTGCACATCTTTTCGTAAAAATTCAAAAAGTCTTTCCAAATATACTATTTTTTTTAATCTCATATTTCAATCAAAAAACCAAAAAGTTACTAAAATAAATTGTTCCTAAACGAGGCGTAATTATGCTTTTGCATGAGACTTTTCAATTTCATTATAATTCTTGGCCCTCTTAAAATCAAATCCTGGATTCGCCTTGGCTGTTGTCAATGCAGTACCAGAGGATATACTGAAGTAAACTACTTCATGGCATTTTCCTGGTTGACTCCCAAGCTCTGCACGCACACATACAAACGCACATCCAAACAAAGACACATACATGGACCCAGATACACACATCAAGCCTAGTAGTATGCTCTGTTTAAACAAAGTTGTCAGACGGTTCTAAGTTGTTAACAACTAGAATACAGAAGTGACAAATACCTTCGAGAAAGAAGGACCTTCCTCTGAATCCGTGAACCAATAGAACATCCCTTGATAGATATCCAAACTCAAGGTAAGGGATATATACATGTATAAACATGGCCTCCACACTTCAGGGCATTTCAAGGTTGTCCACATAGCCTTACAAGCATCAGTAAACTTTTGGGTTACCTGACACCAGAATAGAACATTAGAACGTGAATGTTAATGTTGTCAAGTCAACAATTGTCCCAAAAGCTTAAGCTGTTAGGACATGACCCCAACAAAGTATATCATGCTATCCAACACCCTCATGTGCAATCCTGTCTCCTTCACATGCAAAGTCTTGCAAGAGAAGATGCAAGCATGAGAAGAAAGAATGCAAACAGAGAGATTTGAATCCAAGACCTCTCCCAAGCTGAACTCTGATACCGTGTTAAGTCACCAATTGTCCCAAAACCTTAAGCTGTTAGGAAATGGGCTATATATGATGCTATCCAACAAATATAACCGAAAGATCACCACAAAACCAGGAATACCTGTCTGCATGTAAAATCGGTTGTGTAGGGTTCCTTAAGCAAAACTCCAACAGACAACACAAGCCCAAATGGGATTGCCAGCAAGCCAAACACACCCTTTGAGCAAAGGAAGAAATGTTCCACAAGGTAAATCATCATATTTTCTATCGTACAAAACTAAAACTGAACAAAAAATATGCAGTTTTGGCCAAAATGAAGGAGCAGAAACTAACCACTGGACCAATTAAGTGAACCAAGATACCACTAAGCAAGAATCCCACTAGTGCCCCAATGGATGAACTTAGGGCACATAAGCTTTGCATGTCAGCTGCAAGCAACGGATGACTACCACTGTTTTGTGCCACACATGCATCAATGGTCACATCTGCGATTGCAACCCCGGCACTTCCTCCTGTTAAAAACAACAGAGCCAAGAAGAGATGCAGCTTTTCGTGCAATGATAGATAGAGCATGGAGATAATACCCATGACACCTGAAATGAACATGAAGCAACTATCCAATCAAACAACTGCATCAGTCAAACAACTTCAATATTTTTTTTCAACCCATCAAACAACCAAGGTAAATTACATTGATCACCCATAAGTCTCACAAATTCAGCATAATTACACTGACAAACCATTTAATAAGGCTAAAACTACCAAAACTAATGTAGAGGTGTACACAACAATAAACAAGGGTAAATATATATTTTAGTATAAAAGAAATGACATCATTATTTTTTTATATATACAACTAACGAATTACTGATGAAAAGGGAATTAAGTGTTATGTGAATTAAAACATTAGGGGATGTTGGTGTAATTATGTCAAAAGTGTGGGGCTAACTATATTTTCTCAAAACCTCAGGCAGGGGAGGTCAATGCAATTTACCCAACAAAAGGTGCATTCCCTCATCTACCAATTTTGCTTCATCCTTCATGTTCTCATCTCCTCAGATTGGTTTTGTTGCCTTACCTTATTTAGAATGCTGAGCTCACAAGATTTTTGGTCTTTAACCTGAAGTAATTGTGGTGACAGAATTTTGTCAAAAAGAACCTGTTTGGATGAACAAGTAGCTGTTAAAATTTGATCGTTTGTTATCCATTAACCATATTCTGTCAGCTAGGTTGTCTATTCATGTAGAAGACTGGATAACAATTCATTTCATTGTTGTCTGATATTCATATTAAATCCATTTGTTCTTGGTATAGATTGCGCTATAGTTACACAAAAATTTTGTCCTTTCATAATAACAAATGCCTCACCAATTTACATGGACATAACCAAAGTGGTATTGAAAGTTCACTGCAACTCAAAAACCTTTCCACTATTTCATCTAGGGGTGAAGCAATACTTTAAAATGAACATACCATCGGTTATTGGCCTATCAGTCATTTGAGGCAAATGTGGAAGCCACACTCCTTCCAGCTTTGATAACATGACGTAGAATGGAGCTCTTTTGGGGTTGATTTTAACTAATTTATGGTTAGAAATATGGGTTATTAGATGTATGTATATATACTTGTGAATTATATAATGTATTAATGCGGTTTTCAGTTTGCTTGCCGGCCGTCTTTCCCTGTCCTAAACTGTCATGAATTTTCACAGCTGTACAACTTTAATTATCATTGCAAATCTCTCTCTCTCTCTCTAGCACAAGTTGGGGTCGATGGGCTGTATTGCTATTGTTGTCTTGTTGATGCTCAAACTCTTCAATGTTATTTAACTGTAAATGCAGCCGGGAGTTCGTGGATCATGAAAGTAAAGTGTGATATATGATTTACCAAGTTTGTCCTCCAATGAAGTGTGTGACAAATTTATATATATCTCACTTGTTTCTTAAAACTAAGACAAAGAACTAAGTTTGAAATAGCAACGCTTCAAGGTTATCTACTGTCTAGACCAGAAGATGTTCCTGAACTTAAACAAGGACAACATCAATTCTCCATATAACTTCCCTATATGAAATTGCAGAGGATACATTTATTAAATTAAAATTCCTGATGTTTTGAAAACTTATTCTTGTGTAGATTTATTAGATTTGCTATGTTGTTTCTCTTCATTTCTAGTTTCTTCTATTCTATGCCTCTTTCGTTTTTTCTACGGGGTGACCAATGTGTGACAACCCTACCTAGGCCCCTAACACTCTTCTTTATTTTTTTTCTCTTTGTTTTTCACCTAATCATGTAGATCTTAATCACAAAAAGGGAGAACAGAAATCAAATCCTAGAAAGTCCATATTCATGGTGATAACCACTAGTTAACAATGGTGACTCCCTCTTGTGCAAACTTCAAGGTCTCGTCCTACTTGGGATTGGTTATGTGAATCTAGGTTCACTATTCCGCTCAATCAAGGTCCATTAAACCACAAACTAATTAATTTTGGTATTCCTTGTTCCCTAGCATTACCCTCAATGTGGAGTATGCCACTCTTCCTAAGTAGATTCTAGAACCACATTGTCATCATTCCATCTTTATCTGGTTCACACACCTCAAATGAATGATTGAGAATAGGATATTATTGAATGGACCTTTACCAGCAAACTTTTGAAACTGCACAGGCTCTATATTGAGTACAATCCAATAGAACATAAAAAGTAGGCAAAGGTTAATTGTTTAACCAACAAAAAAACTCATTGGATTTGGCAGCCATGACTTAAGAGTCTTGATTCTTGAATTCCAATTCCAAGGCTTGGATTCCACAATGCCAAACACAGGTGTTGTAAATCAATAATTTATGTCGAAAGATATGGATGAATATTACCACATACAAGAAAGATGCAATAGCATCCATGACACAGAACATATACATTCATTCAACTGTTTAAAATGAAAAGTTACAATCTGAAGCAGCAATCAAAACTATAGAAAAACAGAGAACAAAAACAGAGAACACAATAGTAAAATTACCTGCTAAAACGAAATAAGGTTTCCGGTGATACCCAAAAATGGAAACAACATCTGTGAGGATGCCCCAAATAGGCTTGACAATCCAAGGAATCCCGGTTATTCCTTATTCCAGAGTAGACCTGTGCTGCAGAAGGTTGAACCTTCTGCACATCCTTCATGTAATACGCGGTGCCTACCCGATTGAGAGCACCACCCAATCCCTGGCTTATTCCATAAATAACCACCACACCATAAACAAAACTCCAATGCATTTCCATGGCAAGCATTCTAAACCAATAGACTGGAGCCCACACACAACCACAGATCCCTTTTCTGGGTTCATTTTGTTGCACAATCTCACCATGGGTTGGAAGTTCCACTTCTTCCACCATCACTGATCTTGTAAAATCTCCAGAAATCAAGAACAACCCAGTTTGCAAATCAGTGTTTCATGAACTGGGTATTTCAATGCTGACACAAGTTGTTCTGAGAATCTTGAATCTATGAACTGAATATCTCAATGACAACAACAACCCATTTATTTCACAGAACAATATTCCCTAAAATGGGGATCACATATAAACTGGCTCCAAAAACTTTCAGATCTCTAATTAAGCAGGTTCAGGGTTTTGCTCGATTCACCCTGAACTCGAATATCTCCAAGAAAACCCATGTATCCTCAAATGGCTAACATTTGAAATTTCACATCTGACTTTGTGTGTATTGTTATCTAATACTTGAATATTTTAAGCAAGTCCTCAAACAATTTGCAGCTGAAAAAATGGAATTGTGTCTGAAGATTAGAATCAAAGACAAAAGAGAATGTTTCAAGGAAGGCTAGAGATGAGGAAGTTCCAAGGTAGTAGTAGGTAACTGTAGACTCTCCAACACCAGAACCAGAACCAGAACCAGAAGAGAAGAGAAGAGAATAATTTGACTAATCAAATAAACAATAGAGAAATCTAATTTGTATTCAGACAATAGTTTTCCTTGCAACAGCATCATAGTTATGGTTTCCATTGTCCAAATAAATGGATAAGTATCAAAGAAATCTTTTTATTTTTTATTTTTATTTTTTTAAATCAAAAAACTATGGAATCAGGAAAATGATCAAAATGTTCTGTCTAAAAATAAGGGAAAATTGCAAATGTGTCTTCATGAAATATTTATAATTTTAATAATTAAAGTTAATAAAGTTATTCATTAATTTGATTTTTTTTTAGAAAGATTCTATCATTTGTAATTTTCTCTAGAAATAACTAATCACAAAACAATTAATAAATATGAATGATATATTTGTTTCGGTAGAACAATAATTTTTAAAAAATATTTTCTATTTTTTTGGTATGATTGAAAATAAAAATTAATAAAAAATATTTTTCATAATCAATAAAAAATAAAAACTTATTTAAGCTTAAATGTTTTTTTTTAAATTTAAAAATATTTTTTAAACTAAAATTTTATCAACATCACTTCAATTATTACCAGTGCCACTCTATAACTAACTTACCATTCGGCTCAAAGCTTGCCCGGTCCGTTGTCCATCATCACTCAGCTTGAGCTTATATACTCGGCCAAGCCTGCTGGATAAGACTTGGGCCTAAGGTTTGGTCTCTGTGTCAAGTTGGCACAGATTTGCTATAAATAAATAATAAAAAAAATCGATTGGTTAGAGTTTTTTAAAAACACTTTTTAAAAAAAATTTACTTTCTTATTTTTCGTATTTTTTTATTTTTACTATTTTTTTTAATATTTTAAGTAATTTTTTTAATTTTTAAACATACCTAACATAAATATACTTAAAAAGTAAAAAATTTGTGAAAAAATCTTTTAAAAATTCACTAAATACCAAAAATACAAAAAAAAATATGAACATTATTTGTATTTTTATATATTTATTAATTTTTTAAAATATGTTTTCACAAATTTTTTACTTTTTAGATACATCTAAGTGGGGTGCATCCAAAAAATTTAAAAAAATATTCACTAAAAACAAAAAAACACGAAAACTAAAAAACTCAACTTTCAAAAAATTTAATTCAAAAAACTCAAACCAAACACACTCATGGGACTTGAACTCTACTTTTGCAAGTCATTCCTGACTGATACTTACCTTACCACTACTATCATTGTTTCCACTGCAATCACTATCACCTTTCTACTACAACTACTATCGTCACCTCTCCATAACATACACACCATTGTTGTAGTTGTCACTCGCTGCCGTCCCAACAACACCATTTTTGCCACTAACACCATGTTTACTACAACTGCTAGCACATCAATTTTAGAATAATAACTAGATGTAAGAAAAAAAAAAATTTATGTGAAAAATACTTTCTTTGAAAAAACATTTTTTCCCCACAAAAACAATGGGGGTGGAATAACCCAACAAATAAATAATCCCATCTAAAAACAATGACCACAATATGAAGCTAATAAATATGAAGAACCAACTACTACGGCATTATGAAAATGACATATTGTTCGGTATTTTTATTATTTTGTTTAATTAAAATATGCACAAAAAATAAATACTTGAATAAAATTCTTATTATTAACATTGACTAACGAGTAATGATAAAGAACCCTTTAGAGTGCTTTAAGTGTAATAATTAATTTTTTTATAATAATTTTATTAAATAGCATTTATGATGTTAATTTCATAATATTTACCTTTATTTTTGTGCTTAATTTTTGTTTTAATAATTGAATGGCGTAGTCAACAAGACGTTTAATACACCACAGTTGTGACGGTGCATATGCATTGCCGTAACACATGGGGATGAAAAAAACAAAACAAAGAACAAAAAACACAAAAAAACAAAAAATAAAAGATATAGAAAAGACACAATAGATAAGGACTTTTGGGTACCTTTGGAATCTTATGGCATAACAAATATTATTGTAAAGATTATAAGTTCAAATTGAAAGCATTGAATAGATTCTTATGTCACGGAATAAATATATTGAGTATAATAGTGATATCATGTCAAAAATATTATCAAATAATGAAAAATTTAACATCGTAACAATGGGAATTATATCATTGGACTAGTGGGAAATGAGATTTAATTTCATTTGTGATTTTTTATTTATTGATAGCACTAAGTATGATATTACCATTACACTCAATATCTATTCTGTTCATATGTCATTGCAAGTTTAACTTAAACTTAATTAAAAAATTATTATATAATTTCAAGTTGTATCTATCGATTGAAATTTAATTTCAATTAAAAACTAGGATTACAATTGCATCAAACTTGAACAATCTAAATCTAATCGGAATGAGATTTAACTTAAGGTTGGTTATACAGTAGTATATATTAATTTCCACTTATCTAATTGATAATTTTTTAAAATATTATATATATGTTTAAAATTGCTATTGTCAAACTATACATGCCCTCAAATTATTTTCATATTGCTTTGAAATAAGTTACTAATTCTTTGGCAATAGAATCATCGATCTTTCGTGAATTAAACTAACTCTTTGCTTAATTAGCTTAATTATAATTAATTGTATTTACCCAAAAAGTATAATTAATTGTGCAATTGTATAACAGAAATTAAAACTGTCACAATAATACATTGGAATGTTTTGAGCTTGTTTGATAACATTTATGTTTACAATTTTCTATTTTAAAAATATAAACAAAAACTCATTTGATATTTGGTTTTATTTTTTAAAATTTGTAAATAGTTTATAAAATTTACTAAATTATTGTAACAAAAAAAAAAGAAGGTAATTTTACTTGTTTAGAAAATAAAAAAAATCATTCATTCCTTCTTTTCCCATCCCCTCCACCATCCACTGCTCATCACCACTATTACGGACCACCACATTTGACCACCGTCGTTGGTGATCTTTTCTAATAACAACCTCTAATTACTAGCTCCTCCAGTAATTAGAAAACCACCCTTTGCCAACTAGTTTTTGAAACACATTTATACCAAACATTTTTTTATTATTATTTACACAAAAAATAAATATAAAAATATTTTATTAAATTGTAAACATTACCAAACAACACATTTAGGTTTGACTTTCTTGATATTATGTGTGGTATGACTTGTATGCAAATAGCATATGTAGAATGTGAGTAGAGTTCCACGTCATAAAAAAATTAAAAAATTTCAACAACTATGTCATAGTGTATTTGTTTTATTTTAACACCCCGGGTGTACCTCGATCTATAATTTATTGGTTGCCTTAGGCTTGAGGTTTGCTGCTCAACAAGGTAGGTCAATCTAAGATAGTCTGATCTGGTGAACCACCAAGCTTTTAGTCAAAAGCTCATATGATGTCTCTAGGAGTTGGAGTTGGAGTTGGTCTACCAATTACAAAATGGTGAAGCAGATCAAGATATGCATTTTTAGAGATGATAATAGGGCTGTGGACTGGGAGAATCTTATCCATCTCTACCTAGTGAACATTGCCCTGTTTCGTACCCACTAGGACCCTACCCTCTTATACTCTTGATCGCCCCAATTCGGCTTATAATTTACATTTTTAGTATTAAATCCAAACTTGATCGGGTTCTCCATTTTCACCTTCAAACCTGATCTTACTCTACTTGTGTTTGGTTGGGGATTTTGGGGAGGGATTGAAAAGAGTAAGGGAAAAAATATGTGAAATTAAGTAAAATATAGACATGTTTTATTCATATTTTACCTATCTTTTTTATTTTCCTTTCCAAATCTTTTCTCAAATTCCCCAACCAAACACAACATAAGAGATCAAGGACTCCCAGGTTAATTTTCTCATGTTCTGTTTGGCAGCATGAAATTCATGTTGAACTCAATGTGCAGCTGCTAGGGCAGCTCAAATATCACATTGTTAGAGGTGGGCATTGAGTGGATTCGACCGAATTCAAGAGAGGAAAGAATGAACACCAGCGAGCCCAGCGTTGCAAACACCAGCGATTCTACTAGTCTTTCTCTTGAATAGGAAGATCATTTGATACGCAGCACTAAAAAGATCAAGGGTAGGGAGGCGTTGGAGAATTGAGACATGGTAACCAGTGTAGAATCTGGAGTCGTTCCCAATCTCACCCTCTCCGCTCCAGTAGAAATAGACATGAATGACGACACTCATCCTTCTGTGGAAAACTCAGCCGCAGGTCCTAAGGTAAAATTGTTCAAAGAAGCGCTAGCAGCCCCGAAAAGTAGTGATTTTTACTTTGATGAGATAACGGACACCATAACTTCAGATGAAGGCGACGCTGATGGAGATACCCTCATGCCTGAGGATGTACAAAATGGAATACCTCAAATCTCCCTCCCAAAGAAGCTCCTGCAATAGATTCGACAACCGTGGACAAACTCCCTTATTGTAAGGCTTTTGGGCAAAAGCATTGGGTACAGATTGCTCTGTACTAAAGTCAAAAATCTATGGGCCCTACAAGACGACTTCAATGCTATAGATCTAGGTAGCAATTACTTTCTCTTCAAATTCTCCTCTCAGGAGGACTGCGCCCATGTGTACTCAGGGGGACCGTGGGTAATTTCGGACCACTATCCTACTGTTTGCAAGTGGGAGCCTGATTTCAAGGCATCGGAAGCTTTCGAAACCACAACCGTGGTTTGGGTTAGGTTTCCGGAGCTTCCGATTGAGTATTTTCAAGAAAAGGTTCTGTATACTATCGCTAAACAATTAGGACGACCTCTCAAGATAGATCTAACAACAGCCATGGCTACAAGAGGCAAGTTTGCCAGAGTTTGTATTGAAATAGACCTCAATAAACCTCTCTGCCCCAGGTTCTTACTAGTAAGAAAAGCTACGCCATCGAGTACGAGTCCATCCATTCTTTTTGTTTCCATTGTGATAGGGTGGATTATCGTAAAGAACTATGTAGACACAAAATTGCTGCTCGAACCCCCCACGTGGCTTCTACTCCAAACACACCGCCGACCGGTGACGGACTAGCCGTTACAGACACCCCGCAGCCAGCATCGCTCCCAATCAACGGTAACCTGCAACATTTGGAGCAAGGCGAAACCCATTTTGG